CAACCCTATAAGCCCTACTCGTTCAAGGAAGGGTGGGGTGGGCTTGGGGTTTTGGCATATCGATTTAGGGCTGAAGCTTCAGAGTCTTAGAGTAGGCTCCCCAGTTTCGGGCTTAGGGTTTAGTCATTTGTAAAATTTCAAGTTGAGAAGCTGTTCTTGGTGAGGTTCTGAGAAACTTCCATGTTCCTCCACTGCGGTTTGGGTATGCCCCCATTCCCCACTAAGCACCAGGGAGTCTGAGGAGATCGAAATCATATATGAGATGTAGTCTAAACTCCTAGTATCTCCCCCAAAACCCCAGTAGTAACCCCCAATATAATACCCTTTGAGGAGTTTAGGCTATAGCTCATATTGTTTGCGTTTCAAGTTGTGCGCTGGAGGCTTTTCCGAGCTTGTCCGTGAGGGGCTAGAGGTACCTCAAATAAACCACAACAAAATCTGTATGTAATTATTTACGCCCGGTATGCGGCTGAGGACCAAAGTGATGTGGCAAGGAGGGTCACTAAGGCTATCGTGGTGCCAAGGGCTCAGGGCCGCAAAGATTCAGGAGATAACGAGTACGCTCCCAAGCTAACATCGAGACTACATAAAAAGGGAACCCCCTGATTCCACTCCAGGGGGTACCTTTAAGGGATGTATAGGGTTTTGCAGGGATAGGGTTTAGGGATTTATAGGGACCACGTAGGGATTTCCGAAGACCCAAACCCTATAAGCTCGACACCTCATTTTCAAGGCGAGTCGCTCTATACCATATGGGTGGTTGTCAAAATTATGGTCCCTTTTTTTTGGATCCCTATTATAATATGGCACCTAATATTTAGGGTACCCAAAAGGGGACCATGATTCTGACAACCACCCATATTTATATACAGAATCTAGGAGCATGATTGGGCTGCTGCAGGACCCCCCTAAACCCTAAACCCTGCGCATTATGTTCAGGACAAGTCGCCTATACCCGGCAAAGCGTCAAGAATTTTCAGGTGGGTAATTTCCCCACTATAAAACTCATATAGTCGTTATATACCCCTAGTCTCACCATATGAGACTTGAACAAGCCTTATGTAAGGGTAACCACGTGATAGCCTACGGATTTCCTCAAGAAAGGGTTTAGGGTTTAGGGGTTTAAGTAGTAGTCTAAACCCTAAGCCCTCCACTTGCCACAACCCTCTGGCCCTAAACCCGGAGCCCTCAAGCCCAGAATACATAGAAATTGTACAGGGCCAATAAAAGCAAGAGCCAACGCTCCACCCAAAACCCCACACAAAACCGCCAAAACCTTCGGACATTAACCATGTACAATTTCTCTCTAGCCTATGCTCTAAACCCAAAGCCCTAAGCCCTAAACCCTTAATCCTTTACCCTAGAAACTTAACCCTAAACTCGCAACCCTAAGCCTTTAACCCTAGGGTTTAGGGTTTAGGGCTACACCCTAAACCCGGAACCTGCTCAGGACAGGCCAAGACCTTCCTCGCCCACGGCATCAACCAATGCTCATTGTTGGCTCAAAGCCTCACCGGAAAGGAGGCCGGGCCCGGACCTCCCATTTCCCGGACTTTGTGGTTGGTTTTGGGTGTTTTTGATGTTTTTGGTCTTATTTGTTATTGTTATTTCTTTTTTGTGGGTTCAGGGTGTTAAGCTTTTTTCTAGCTTTTTTGTCCTAGGTTTTTAGGGTTTCAGGGCTTTAGTGTTTCTTGGGTTTACTTGATTCTCCCAGGTCTTTGGGCATTTTCCAGAATCGGGATCCTAAACCCTAAACCAGAAGAAAATGGGATTTTCCTGTAGGGGCCACATGAAGGGACCCATGGCTTTCAGGGGTTTAGGGATTAGGGTCTAGGGATTAGGGTCTAGGGATGAGGGTTTTGGGTTTAGGGATTAGGGATTAGGGTCTAGGGGTTTTTGGGTTTTGGGTTTTTTGGCTTTGAAGCCGAGATCAGGGTGATACATCGTTGAGGAACGAAATTTGCAGGGGCATAAGTATACAAAGTGCCATATTTCTTATTGTGAAGGTGTGTAGGGTCATGCGGGATTGCAAAAAAACACCAGACCCCTAAATCCTAACCCCCCCCCCTCCACCGCCCAAAGCTCTAAACCCTAAATCCAAAGCCTTACCTGTGTCCATCAACGGTAAGTAAGTTAAGGCTAAGCCCAGGAGAGTTGTGACGATTTAGGGAGTTGCAGCCTTTAGTAGGTTAAAAACCCAACGAGCTATGAGGCTTTACTTCTTGTAATATGCCAAGAAGCACCCTAAACCCTAAACCTTAAACCCAAACCCAAACCCCGAAGAACTCAAGCTTTCAAAGTTGAATCTGTTGATTGCTGTGGCCTTCATGGTAATCTAGAATCGGTAACAGCTTTACTAGCATTCTCCCCGCACAAACTGTATACAACTTTCGCATATTTCTAAGTATGCCTAAGCTTTAAACCCTAAACTAGAGGCATTCAGGTTCCCATTAGAGAAGTGCAGACCGGAGCTTTCCAACTCGCAGAGACAACCCTTAGGGTTTAGGGTTTGAGCTTTGAGATTAACAGTCCTGCATGACGGTAAGTATCTATACCTGCGGAATTTGGTGTTGTATTACGCGAAGGTAATGCAGATTTTCAGCTTCAACAATATCACAAAGGTAAACACATTTGGTCGGTCACTGGTCAGTGGCGAGCCTATGCCAGAACGTTGTCCAGGGCCTCCCAGCAGAAGGCAGTGCCGGATGGAGGAAAGAAACGCACAAGTCGTTTAGGGTTATGTAATAAATTAAACCTTCCCTTGAAACCCAGTAGTCTACTTTCCCTCAGAGTCAGTCCACATGTTCCCGCGGTTCAACGGGGCCAATGGTGCTGTTCTTGAACTGTGGACCACGAATATGGACCTCAACTTACTCTGATCCTCATTCTGGAGCCTCGAAGGTTCCCCTAATTTTTGGTCATCCCACCCAAAAAAAAAACAAATCACCAAAAACGCACCCTATATTGGCCTACTGCCCCTATAGGACCTCTACAACTTCCTCAACGGCAGCGAAAGAAAAGCCGTGCCCAGGTGTGCAAGGCATGTCGGTGGTTTGACGCCTCTGAGCCCGGGTCCTTGTCGAAACCAGGCTTCTGGGCTGGTGTTAAGAAACTTGAATGAAGCTACCAGAATATGGGTACATAGGTTTTAGGGTTCGGGGTTTGGGGTTTAAGTTGCCATAATATGGGTATATAACCCTAAACCCCTAAACCCTGAACCCTAAACCCTAACAAATGATAGGGTTTCCTTATTACAGAGACTTTTTTAAGTTCCCTAACAGAGACAGAGGCTTTGGCCAAGTGGCCGCCAACATCGCAGCGGAAGACTGTAGCTTGGTTTAGGGTGTGGGGTTTAGGGTCTTAGGGGTTTAGGGCTTAGGGTGTGGGGCTTGGGTTTGAGGGTCTAAAGTTTCGGGTTTAGCATTTAGGGCTTGGGCTTTAGGGTTTAGAGCTTTGGGTTTAGCATTCAGGGCTTGGGCTTTAGGGTCTAGAGTTTGGGGTTTAGCATTTAGGTCTTGGGCCTTAGGGTCTAAAGTTTCGGGTTTAGCATTTAGGGCTTGGGTCTTAAGGTCTCAAGTTTCGGGTTTAGCATTCAGGGCTTGGGATTTTTTGGGTTTAGGATTCACGCCCAGGGCTTGGGGTTTAGCAGTCAGGGTTTAGGCTTTGGGGTTTTATGATGTAGCTTGACTTGAAGGGTTCTGGTTTAGGATTTAGTGGCTAAGTGTTAGAGATTCTTTTCATTCCGGGGGCGATGGGCTTCCTTTTAAACCTGAAGAACAGGTCACAGGGTTCCTGGTGCCAAAGCAAGACGACGAGGGTTAGGGTGGGAGGCGTAGATCCAGGGCTTACAACGGAAGACTGTCCCTGAATTTCCCCTTGTGGTCCAATTACATGTATCAGAATTCTGAACTAGGCCCGAAAAGCAAGATTATGCAGGGAATTCTTGGTCCTTATCCAGAATTCGGGATCAGCGAAAAATGCTACACTCCAGGGCTACAGGAGTCCCGCTGCTGAGAGTTCGGTCTGAAAGTACTGAATCCCCAACATCTACCGAACAAGAGCAGTTCGCCTTCTTGTTTTGGTGCAGTAACGGAAACAGGTACTGTGAGAGGGAACCTAATTCCCTAAGGTTAGGGCGATTGACGAGTGTAAGTCAAAAAAACCTGCACCCTGAACTCCTCCCAGAAACACTTATCATGCGTTTTCTTACCCCCTTACTAATTACCCCCCATGCTTCTACTTAACCAGGGTCATTCAAGAAGGCTTGGGGCCAACGGGCCAACTGAGCGCGAACCCTTGGGGTTAGTTGGGGCGGCGGATTCCAAGATATAGACACCTAAGAATTCCCCAAAATGAGTCCCTAAATCCTGACTCTAGTCCCTTCCAAACTGTAAACCCTAGCCCTTATCCCTAAAACCTCAACCCCAAACTCTAATTTCTCAAGCCCAAACCCTCATCCTAAACCCTAAGCCCTATACCGTCAGCCTAAACCCTAAGCCCTATACCCTTACACCCCATCCACCCACAAGGTGCCGATGGCACCTGGCCCGACGAAGCATCGGCGTGGCTCCGTCGGGATGAGCTGGTCCACAGGCCGGGTTGTTTTCTCAGGTCGCTTCATGTAAAGGGTTTAGGGTTTGGGG